TAACATCCTCCAGTATTGCAATGAGAGGTGAGGGCTTGTTTTTCAGTTCTTTCAGGCTGAGAAATTATTAATGGATACTCCTTCCCCCCTTTTTTAAATGACTCCAAGTCTTTGCACACTTTATTATAATGTTTTCCTTTTCTTTCTCAAACTGCCCTTTGAACTTCTCTGTTCATCTCTTTTACGTTGCCATTTCCCTCCTTTGTCTTGAGTTTTTAACCTCTAGTGACTTTTTCATTCTTTCCTGATACTCATTTGGTCTTTTCTTTTTTCTCCTTTCTTTTTCACAACCATTTCCTTTCTTCCTGGATTATATCCTTGATGCCATTCCATAGATTATTTGATCAATGTCTCAAATTTTGAGATGGCTTTTAAATTAAAGTGGGATTGACTCAATGCTGTATTTTGGTTTCATTGTATTTATTTTGATTGTCTCCAGCTTCAAGTTGAACTCGCACATAAGGAATTTATGGTTTATTCCAGAGTCAGCACCTGGCCAGAATTTGACTACTGATATTAAGATTCTCCAATAATTCTTTCCACAGATATAGTCAATCTGACTTCTGTATAGTCCATCTAGTCATACCCATATGTGTTGTTCACTTTCATGCTTTTTAAAGAAGGAATTTAAAAATTAATGAATCTTTTTCTTTTCTTTTTATCTAATTATACTAGTTTATTTACAAAATTTGAATGGATTTTTTTCAGACCAGATTCTTCCAATTTCCCACCCATGGAACTGTACAAACCCATGATTAACTCCTCCTGGCAAAATTCAATCTTTTAATTAATAGCCTCATTCTGATACCAAGTCATAAGTTCTGACTACATTTTTCATTTCCAATGCTTGAATTCCAGTAGTCAATTATTTTTCATGAATATTAAGTGGATATTGCATCAATTTCAAACTACAAAAGGTGATAGAAATCCTCAATTTTCTCCTCTTTGGCCTTATTTGTTGGTGTGTGTACTTAAAATGACATTAATATGTTTTTCTTCTATGAGGATAAGTAGTACCACTCACATCATTATACTTCAGGATGGATCTTAAAAAGGTCTTTTTGACTCTAAATGCAACACCATTCTCCTTCAGTTTTCCATTCCTCATATAGTAGATAATATTCTTATCTGATTCACACTTATCAATGTCCACTCCACCTCAGCTGACTAATGCTTAGAATGTCTAACTTTATGTGTTCCATCTAATTTTTGACAATTTACAATATTTCTAGATTTGTACTTCATATATTTCACAATCTGGTTATTAATGGTTATTTGCCAATGCTCTCCTCATTTTGAGTTTACAATTGGAGGGCTCTATGTCTGATTATATTATTGTAAAAGTACTGTTATATAATAGTATGTATCTATTGTTCATAGTGTTCACCAGAGCTCTTGTGGCCTAATAGTGAGAAGCTGCACTACAATCCCAAAGACACATGATTCGAATCCACCAGCTGCTCCATGGGAGAAGGATGGTCACTCTCCTCCCATACACTTAGCTATTTCTGCAAACCCACTAGAGTGCTAGCTACATGTCAGTTCCAACTCAACGGTACACAACAATAACAACAACAACATTCTTCATAAAGTTTTTGAAGGTCTGTTGCTTCAGAAATACATCTTAGTCTACTTCTTAGTCGGTCATAATCTGAAAGCTGCACTGAAACTTCATCATGGCTTGTCTTGCTGGCATTTGAAATACCAATGACATAGCTATCAGCATCACAGCAGTCTGCAAGTTACTCCAGGACAACAAAATGACAGACAGATGCTGTTGTCATAAGAAAGGAAATAAATAAGCATACAGGTACATACCTAAGAAATAAAATATGCAGAAACTTGTAAATCATTCCCCCAATACAATATATTGACAAATAAATACTGTACCCCTCTGTACCCCTACAAACAAATGATAAAAACAAACAAGCAAATAGATATGAATAATCCAGGAAACATCAGAAACCTCAGAAAAATATGGTAGGTTACATATGATCAAGAACAAGTGGTAATAAAAAAAGAAGTTTAGACTGCTCTGAAGGCATTTGCAAAAAAAAAAAAAAAATAGGACCCAAGGAATTGGTGGAATACTAAAGAACATGTTGTTGTTTGTAGTTATGTGCCGTCGAGTCACCTGCGACTCATAGCGAACCTATGTACAACAGCCCTAAACTCCGCTCTCTCCTGTGCCCATCGCACTGTCTCTGACACTCGCATCCCAATTATCCCAGTCACTGAATCAATCAACCTCATAGAGGGCCTTCCTCTCCTGCACTGTCCCTCCACCCTCCCAAGCATGATGTCCCTCTCCAAGGACCTGTCTCTCCTCACTACATGTCCAAAGTAAGTTAGATGGAGCCTCAGAATCCTTGCCTCCAAGGAGCCACCCGGTTTAACCCTCTCCAGGACAAATCTATTTGTTTCCCTAGAAGTCCATGGTATTCTCAGTACTCTTCTCCAGCACCACAGCTCAAAGGCATCAGTTCTCCTTCTATGCTCCTTGGTCATTGTCCAACTCTCTGATGCATAACAGGTGATTGCGAAGACCATGGCCTGTATCAGACGCACCTTAGTCTCCAGAGAGACACCACTGCTCTTTAGCACTTTGGAGAGGTCCCTAACAGCAGACTTTCCCATGGCAATGCGCCTTTTAATTTCCTGGCTGCTGGTGCCAAGACTGTTGGCTATGGAGCCAAGCAAACTAAAGCTGTGTGCAATCTCAATCTCTTCACCATCCATCCTGATGCTGTCAATTGGTCCAGTGGTGAGAATCTTTGTCTTCTTGACATTGAGCCTCAATCCATAATGTAGGCTGCAGTCCTTTACACTCTGCAGCAGGCGCTTCAGGTTCTCCTCAGTTTCAGCAAGCAGGGTTGTATCATCCGCATAACGCAGATTGTTGATAAATCGTCCACCAATCCTGACCCCACATTTCTCTTCATAGAGCCCAGCCTCCCGGATAATCTGTTCTGCATATAGGTTGAAAAGGTATGGAGATAGGATGCATCCCTGGCGTACGCCCTTCCCAATTTTGAACCATGCAGTGTTTCCTTGCTCTGTTCTGACGACTGCTTCCTGGTCCAAGTATAAGTTTCGCATTAGAATGATCAAGTGTTCTGGGATTCCCATTCTTCTCAGAGTAGAGATCGATATTTGTTCCTATCCCAAACAAAGGCGACCCAACCGAATGTGGAAACTACAGAACAATTTCACTGATTTCACATGCAAGCAAGATTTTACTGAAAATTATCCAAAAATGACTAGAATAGCACTTCAACAGAGAACTACCAGAAGTCCAGGCTGGTTTCAGAAGGGGTCGTGGTACTAGAGATATTGTAGCTGATGTTAGATGGATCTTGGCTGAAAGCAGGGAATACCAGAGGAATGTCTATCTGTGTTTCATTGACTATGCAAAGACATTTGACTGTGTAGATCATAACAAACTCTGGCTGACTAAAGGACATAGTTCAACAGATATAACCTTGAATGTGCTCACCAGGCTATGCTAAGATATTTAAAAGACAGTTACCTGGGGCCAATTGAATGAAAAAGACCCAATGTGGAAACTATCAAACAAACTTATTGACATCACACACAAGCTAAATCTTGCTGATGAGTGTTCAAAGGGTGTAGTCCGTTGAGAGAGAATTGCCAGAAATCCAAGCTAGATGTTAAAAAGTCTATGGCACGAGGGATATTGTTGATGTCAGATCATTCATGACTGAAAGCAGGGAATTCCAAAAGGCTGTCTGTGTTTTACTAACTGTGCAAATACGTTTGAATAAGTGTATCGAACACACTAAGACTAACATTGAGAAGAATGGATATCCCAAAATACTTAACTGTACTCATGAGAAATCTAAGCCTAAGCCAAGAGGAAGTTGTATGAACATAGCAAGGGAACACTGAAAAATCAAGAAAGGTGTGGATAAGGGCTGAATTCTTACTCCTTACCTGTTCAGTCGTTTAGTAAGCAAATAATTTAAAAAGCTAGACTTTGCAAAGAAGTACATGGTCTCAGGATCAGAGGAGGACTCATCACCAGCCTGAATTATGCAGATAACATAACCTTTGCTAGCTGGAAAGTTGGGCAGGACTTAAAACATTTGCTGCAGAAGATCAAAGACTACGACCTTCAATATGGATTAAATTTTTTTTTAGTTCTTTTATCTTTTCAAGCAACGCATACTTTTATTAATGTGGTGAGTTGTTTTTATTTCCAAACATGGCAGGGTTTTGACCTCAAATACTCGCCAGGTCTGCAACTCAAATAACCGTCCAGCCGGTGGCTCAGAAACCGCGGACACACCTCTTCCCTGTCCAGTCTGGGGTGGTGGATGCAGGCTCCACAGGCCTCTGCAAAAATGTCCTTCATTTGATGTCCACAACCCCCTCATACAGAATAAAAACTGTCTGCTAGTCGAGCTTCAAATACAGCTGAGTGAGGTTGTCCAGATACAGACTAGACAGAGTCCCATCAGGTAACGTGCCACAGAAAATTTGAAGTCTGAACAAGATACATCTCTCCTCCTTTGGACCCAAAGTCCCAACATACAGACAGCAGCCCCTCCAGCCCCACTCCAGGTTCCTCTGATCCCAGGAGGCCAGGCCTGCCTACGTCTTAGTGACGTCTGCCTTTCTTCAGCAGCTGCTGCACCCAATGAGGGCTGGAGAGGCCACTCCAAGTCTTCCTCGTCAGAGACCCCAAGTTCCAGGGAGCTACCAGGTCACACAAGAATGAGCAAAGCACCTCAAAACTGGAAAGCAACCCCCAAAGCCAGGAACACATGACTGCCACCAGAGCTTCCAGACCAGGCCGATTCCAGCCAGAGGCGTGGAGGTCAGCAAGCACAGACCACAGCAGAACGCAGTGTGAGTGAGGCCGAACTAGACAGGGCGGGGCGGGGTGGGGAAAGAAGAAAACACCAGGCTCTTGGTTCCTCTCCTCCAGGCGTCCTGATCTCCACCCGGGACCAGCTCCACTGGCTGGGAACCGCGGCTCAGGAGGACTCGCTGCGCTCTATCCGCCGCACCAGCTGGACCAGCATCTCGGCCATCTTGGCCACCTCGCGGGGCTGCTGGTCAGCGCGGGCGGACGCGGGCTCCCCGGGGCCATGCTCGGCCGCCTGCAGCTGCGTGGTGCCGGCCAGCAGCACACTGTTCATCGCCCACAGCTTGCCCAGCGTCCGCAGGAAGGCCCGCCGCGCTCCCGCACCAGCGCCCCCACATCCTCGTGCATCTGGTGGATGACCAGCAGCAGCAGCTGCTCGAAGTCCTCCTCAGCTCCACGTCCAGGGGCCGCATGGTCCTGCTGCGTCGAGGCCGCTGACAGGGGACGCCGGTCAGGGCGGCGGACGCGAGAGAGCAGATTACATCTTAACATAAAGAAAATACAAATCCTTACCATTGGGCCAAAGAGCAACATCAGGATAGATACAGAAAAAAACTGAAGTTGTAAACAACTTCATATTGCTTAGTTTAACAATCAACACGCTTGGTACCAGCAAGTCAAAAAATAAAAAGCTTGGTTGCCTTGGAGAATTCTGCTGTCAGGGAGCCCTCCAAAATGCTAAAGACCAAGGATATCAGTTTAAAGGTTAAAGTACACCTGGTCCAGACCATTGTCTTTTCAGCTACTTGCTCTGCATATGAAAGTTGCACAATGACCAAAGATGACAGAAGAATTGATGCCATTGGGTTGTGGAATTGGATAAGAGTACTGAATATCACATGGACTTTGAAGAGAACAATGAAATATTTCTTGAAGAAAGTGCAATCAGAGTGCCTTTTAGAGGCAGGGATGGTGAAACTTGGTCTCAAAAACTTTGGACATGCTGTCAGGAGAGGCCAGTTCCAGGACATGTGCATTTTGCTTGGAAAGTTGGAAGGTCAGTGTAAGAGAGGAAGATCTTTTACCAGATGGATTGACATAGTGACTGTAACAATGGACTAAAGTATATTTGGGATGATAGGAGGGTTCAAATTCATTGCTCATAAGATTGCTGTAAATTTTAGTTAAATCAATGACACATAACAACAGCAACATCTCAAGCACAAGGGGTCGCTAGTGGGTCCAGAAGACCCTAGTGAATTGTACTGCTGACTCAAAGGACACAATTCTCTGAATATTTGAGTGCATTGGCAGCTCCACAGGGGAAAGACAGCCAATGTTTCCTGGAAACGCGAAGGAGGGTTACCAAAGAGTCAGTTCTGACTTCACAACAATGCCTGGGAGATATTGCTATGTTAGGAGTTACAAAGAGAATGGGTGAGAATGCTACATTGAGTAATTCACTGTACTGCAGAAACTAAGACAACTGTTATAAAAAGCCTTCCAACAACTCAATTTACCATTCATTAGAAAATCTCTGGGCCTTAATTTGGTCATCTGTAACAAGAAAGAGAGGAAGGATTAGAGGTTTTGGATATTTTCAATGCTATACTCTATGTTTTTTGTTTGTTTGTTGTTTTTTTTTTACTATAGTTAGAGTTATTCTGGGTTTCTGTATATTTATTCCCTCATAGGATTCCTGTTCCCAAGGACATAATCTGGTCTTCATTTCTCAGTGCTTCTCCCTAAGCTAAGGAAGGAAGTAATTCACATACAACTTATGAGTGCTGTTTCTGCAGCCAAGGGTCTTGATTCTCTGCTGCTCTGTGGAGAGGCAGTTGGAACATACTTTTAATATTTGGACACCCTGAAGCAAATACTGACTATTCAGTTGCCTGATTTTATTCCTTGTTTATTCTGACCCTCTTATGCAGCCTTTAATAATTTTACTAGTTTTTCCATTGATGTATTTTATCCTGTTATAGTGTTCACAAAACTGCAATTTGTCACAATAACTTAGATCAAAACGGAATGTAAATATAAAAATTACATAGTGAAAATTCCATATTTATAACTTGGAGTAGGTTTCATAGCTTCTCTGAACTTCATTTATCCCTTGATTAAATATAGAAGTCACTAACACCAGTGCAAAATACATTTATCCTTTTTCCTTCCTGCCTAAATCTAAATTTTCTTCAAGCATGCTTTCCTCTAGTAATTAATCTTCACTGGTTGTTTTTGGGTTTGTTTGTTTTTTGTTTTTTGGTGTTTTTTTTTACAAAGATAGCAAGCTGTTCAATGCTCTATTGTATATGGTTTCTGCTGGATCATTTTCAGAAGTGAATCATCAGGCCTTTCTTCCTTGTCTGCCCTTGTCTGGAAGCTCCTTTTAAACTTGTCCACGATGGGATATGAAGCTAGCATTTAAAATAGTAGTAGCATAGCTTCTAACATCATATTAACACAAAAAAGAATACAAAAAAAATTAAAAGCTATCTGACTGAATAACGATATATTCAGTTGTGACTCAATTTATTGAGACAGTTCACAAGGCTAGACATTTGGTGTTTTGGGGGTTTTTTGGTTGGTTGTTTTGTTGTTGTTGTTAACAAGGTATGCCTGAAAATCTCTCCATATGAATGGCCAAGTGTGCTGAAATATGTTGCTTGTGGTCTTTAAACTACTAGTATGGGGATAAAAGAGTGAGCTGCCCTCAGTGCCTGCTACCAAAACCTTTCTGTTCAATTCTCAATTTCTGTTTAGTTCCCAATCTGTCTTCTATAAATAAGAAGGCCTTAATTGTCATCACAGTGTAGGGTAGACAGCTTATGTGCAGTGGTGTAAAAAGACGTGTGTGTGTGTGTGTGTGTGTCTACTTTTTCTGCACAGCCATGTTTACTAAAAAGAACTACCGACTATCAACAACCAGCTAAGCAACTGTGTGATATAATCAAGGATTCTAGGGAAATCACAAGAAAAAAGTATTTTTTCACATTATAAAAGACTTAAAAATAAAAACAAATACAAACAAAGGAAGCAAATGAAAAGAATTGTGCTTTCCTAAGAGTCTCTGAAATACAAAAAATAATCATATTCTTCGTATATATAATGTATATGTGAAATGTGGACACTGAACAAGGAAGACCAAATAACTGATGCATTTAAATCATGATACTGGCAAAGAATAATGATTATACCATGAATTACTACAGATTTAAGGAAATCTATTGGCAAAGAGGAAAGGGAGAATGTCTTTTAGGAGTGAAGATGTTGAGATGTGTATCACATACCAGGACTGACCGGTCACTGGAGATACCATGCTTGGTAAAGTCAAGGTCCGTGAAAAAAGAGTAAGGCTCTTGTTATCAAGACAAACTGACACAGTGACTGAAACAGCATGCTCAAGCACGGCAGCAACAGTGGAGGTGGTGCAGGACTGAGAAGTGCCTTCTTTTGTTGTACAAAGGATCCCTGTGAGTCAGAGCCATCTTGATCACCCTGGAAACAAAAACTAACCCATAAAAGCAGCTAGTTGTAGTAACTTCTGTTGAGTTTGTTCCCACTCACAGTAAATATATATATATTTCTCAGAATAAAATGTTGTTAAGACTCAGAATTACTGTTCAGGAATGGTTTCAGTATCACACAATTAGAAGGTGATTGAAAAAATACTTTTAAAGATGGTGGCGGAGGCAGAGACAACGTGGTGAGTTGCGGGAGCAGCGGACTACTTGGAAAAGGGCCATTATGACCCTCTACAGACTTCTGTTTATTGATAATTGAACAGTTAAACAGTTGATGACTGGTCTTCAGTGAGGATTGAGGCTCAACAACAGGAATTCAAGGATTTCCAAGGAAGAATGAGTGAGTGCCGCAACTCCCAACCCCCCCCCCCAGAGCCCGCACTGCGCCTCACCACAGCTGTAGCTCCATGAAGTTCCCACAGCCTGAACCTATGGAATCCCTCGCCCAGAATGGAGGGTGGGCACCGGGCCTCCCCAGAACTGGTGCAGTGGAGCCGCCTCACTGCAGCAAAGTGTACTTGTTCCAAGGAGAATTCTTGGAGCCAAGATGGCAGTGGCAGGGGAAGTGGGCGGACACTGGCCTCCTGTGCGCGAGATGAAGCGTGACCGCCAGCCACCCTTGTAGGAGATGATGTGCAGGAGATGGCTTACGCTCGCTGGCCACCCACATGGAAGATGGCACTCGCCCAGTGGCCGCCTGCATGGGGGATGGTGAGCACCTGCCGGCTTCCTACACACAGTATGGCACATGCCTGCCAGCCACCTGTGTGGGAGATGACACTCGGGAGGTGGCTCGCGCCCGCCAGCCACCTGTGCGGAAGATGGCACGCACCCGACGGCCGCCCACGTGGGGGGATGTCACGCACCCACCCCCACCAGCTGCCTGCGCAGAGATGACACCCGCCTGCCGAGAGATGATGCATACCCGCCGAGAGATGACAAACGCCTGCAGGTCGCCTGTGCACAATAGATGCGCGCCCGCCAGCCGTCTGTATGGGAGATGGTACTTGGGAGATGGCTCGCGCCTGGCGGCCACCCACACAAACATAACACCCGCACCCCAGTCACCTGTGTGGCGGATGGCACGCCCCTGCTCGCCCACTGGCTGCCTGCACACAAGATGACGCGAGCACTCCGAGAGATGACGTGCACCCACCTAGAGATGATGTGAGCCCTCCAGTCACCCATGCGCGAGATGACGTGTGCCTGTCAGCTGCCCGTACTGGGGGATAACGCGCACCTGCCCCCACTGGCTGCCCATGTACGAGATGATGCACACCCACCGAGAGAGGGTGCACGCTTGCCAGTCGCCCACACACTAGATGATACATGCCCGCCGGCCACCTGCTTGGGAGATGACACGCGGGAGATGGCAAGCACCTGCCAGTCACCAGCGCTGGGGGATGGTTCGTGCCCGCCAGCCACCCACATGGAAGAGACGACGCGTGCTCCGCCCCCCGTTGGGGGGACGTGTACCCCACCACCTGCAGGTTTGGGTTTCCTTGAAAAACAGAGAAGACTATCACCTATACAATGGATTGTTGAAAGTCACTGTGGGTTGTCTACTTGATGACACTTAACAGTAGCAGCATGTCCAAGAGGACCAACATCCTAAATGCACCACTTATTTTGATCTGTTGAATGCTTCTTCCAAAAGGTGTTTAGACCTGGCGGGAGCCTGTTCACAATTTTCAGGTTCTCTTTGCCATTTATAAAGGGGGAGGGAAGTGACACCTACTTCAAATTATAGTATGACCACTTATGGGGGGGGGATAAAAATGGTGGTGCTGGAATTGGAGATGCTGTCCCTGGCCACACACTCCTCGGGCATGTGAAGCGACCAGATTAGTGTGGGGGCAATTGGAGGGGAGTGTACCAGCCAGCCCATGGGGGGTGTTGCCCTGCTCGGGATGGGTTGTCTTCAGCCCTCGGCTCGGGGCGAGCCATCACTGTCCTCTGCCCGGGGCAGGCTGTCCTCGGCCCTCTGCCCAGGGCAGGCTGTCCTCGGCTCCGGGCGCACCGTCACGGCCCTCTCCCCGGGGCGGGCTGTCCTCGGCCCTCGGCTCGGGGCGAGCCATCACAGCCCTCTGCCCAGGGTGGGCTATCTTCGGCCCTCGGCTTGGGGTGAGCCATCATGTCCCTCAGGGTGAACTCCTCAGTCCCCAGATTGTGCCATCTGACCCCTGAGTAGGAAAAAATAATGCCTAGGGTATCCAGAGAATTTTATCTAGGCTACTTTCTGCCACCCTCTCCCCCAGTAAACCTGAAAGCAACACCCCCAAAACCCCTCTATTTGTAACTCACAAGTTTGTTCTCTCTAGGTTT